CTTTACACATTATCAATCTGGGATCCCTCAGACTCCTGTTTGGGAAAAGGAGGAACATGAAGAAAAAGCTTCTTACACGAGAGAAAGAACAACAACTTATGCTTTTAAGCTCCTGCTGTTCTCCTCTTAAAGATAAAATTGGGGAAGCCAACAAAAGAAAGATGATAGCAGAAGCCATGCAGGCATCCTACTGCTAGCTGGTGGCCTATCTGTACTGTGTAAAATGGGTGAAGCAGGATTCTCGTGTGTTTGTGAACTCACAAATACTGAGAGAATTCAACCGGTACTCAAGGCTAGTTGTGTTATTTGCAAAATAGCTTTTACCCAGATCTGACTTTGAAAGGGTCTCACCCTAACATCTTATGGGCAGTAAGTTGCTTGGAAGAAAACATAATGAAGCTGTGAGCAAGTTTACATACAGGGTCAGCGGTAGAGGCTTTAGCCATAATGTAGCAGTGACCGTAGAAGAGAGCAGAACCTAACACTGACGCTTACTGATCTTTACAAAGTATAAAAACACACAAACATTTATATTCACTTTTGGAACCTAAATTAGACTAAATATCTAATTGAGGTCTGTTCAGGGGATTTTTAAAAATTCCAAATGTCAGGATAATAAGAAGTTAAAATGTATGCTGTGTATGGGGGATTGCTGCAGTGTAGACGACACCATGAAAACGACCGCTCGCTGCAAGATCCAGGAGGAATGAATGCTGCAAGTCAATGACTTGATGCAATCACCTAGGTTTCTATGGAAACCCGGGTGATTGCAAAAAAAAAAGAAAATAAATTACCTACTTTGTCTCATGGATCTCATGGAGTTGGCTTTGAAAAGTGCCTTGAGAGGCGTTTTGATTAGCACAATGTAAATAAACTAAATTTAAATGAATCTAACTTAAAATATAAATGTTTTGATGTATAGAATAATAACTAAATGTATTTTTTTCTGTCAAATGTTATGTTAAAGTAATTATAGTTTGAAGTAATATGGCTTTATAAGCCATTTCCTGTGGACAGTAACTGTAATATAGCTCTGAGTTTTCAGGGCAATTCAACAACCAGTGATTGAGAGGGACACTGCTGTTACTGTAGCTCTGCTAAATGGGTGGTTATGGTTGTTTTTAGACAAATGTTTAAACTTGGCACCATTAAGTGCATTGGCTTACACAAGCCCTCAAAATTAACCATACGTTTAATTTATTTTACTGTCATGTTACAAATATCTTAGGTAATGCCCTTTGCTTTTTTGTCATCAAATCTTCACTTTTCTAGCACATGTCATTTTTGGCTAAGAAGTTGATGCGGCTCCGACATGCAAAAAAGCTGAATGGACTCTATTTAGGTCATGGCTTAAGGTGCTTAAATGGTGTATTATATTTGCAAACAGAACCACAAAAAGTGCATATTGGGTTCTTGTCACAGTTAAATAGTGAACAGAGTTCTGACTCCTTTTGAATGGTTTCATGTTTCCGTTCTGACTTGCTCTACATAATGAACAGCTGCTGCCTCTTCTATGGACAATATCAGTTAATCAGACAGAACAAACGTTTACAGGCTATTAATTAGCATTTAATCTTAGGTCATTTATTTGTTCACAGCCCTACTAACAATGGAATTTTTTATGAGTGCGGTTATCCAGTAATTATTTAATTTCAAAGTTTTTAGCTGAACTAAGGTTATTGTGATTAGCCTTAAACCTAAAAAAAAATAACTGGGATTTATGCCACCATAGGGTAGCATAAACTTAACTGATTCTCTTTTAAATAAAGTCTGTATGAAGAGAGATCTACCGGAAAAAGGAAGCTAAAATATAAATGTAAAAAAAAAAAAATCACACTTATCAGTATCTGAAAAATACTAGAAACAGATGTGTTTCTGTGCTTTGAAAGACACTTTAGGAAGCAAATTAACTAAGGTTCTCACGGTATGTAAGAAAAAAAGTGCTGACCTGGGGTAATTACTTTGTAAACCAAATTTTTATCTTGTTATTACAACACACCATCTCATCCTTTTTCTTTTCAGAGGTCAGTTAGTGTCATGACATCTGCACTCTAATTATAATGAACTTAAGAATATTTGTTATTAAATGTGATGACTGACATCAGGCTAAAAATTATACAAAAAAATAAAAACACATCAGCATAAAATATGTTATGTTTAGAAAGATCATTAAGCTGAACTTCAGAAACCTTCCTTCTTTTTGAAAAATAGCCCAGATTAGTTTTTCACACTGTGTCCCTTAATGAGGATAGTTCAGTTCTTAGTCACAACTGTGGCGGCAGATAGAAATCTCAGCTGCAAAGTGACCCTCTATATTTTTTTTGTATGAACAGAATCCCTTTCTCTTTTCAAACAAATTAAAATGCGTATTTTTCCAGTGTAGCGTGAACTTTTACATATACCTTTATAAAGTTCCTAGACAGGGAAACCATACATGGAAAAAAGAACACAATTACCTTTAGAGAAGCAGCCTTTTTTGGGGTAAGACAGCTCTCAATAAAAACATATGTGTAGGTACTTTTGTAAATGTAAGTAAATAAAGAATAAAGTAAAGATTTGCATTTATTCCTTGTTGTAGACTCATAGATACAGGTGGGATCCGATTTATATACACGTTTAGAAATTATGAATACAAGTAACAACTTTGCAACAACACCAAATAAAGGAGTGTAACAGCTTCATCAAGGGTTTACGACTTGCCCTTTGCCTAAAATTTGTGATTTGTACTTGAAGACACCATAAGGAATTAGGCCGAAAATGATTGCTGCATTATTGCTACAGTCTTTGTTATATTAGGAAGATCTAATCCAGTTTTTATGGGTGCTACTGTAACTGTAGCACCCTTTAACAAAACGCCATGCAGGGGGGGGGGGGGGGGGGGGGGACTTTTAAGTTATTCAGATTTGAGCGAGTTGACCCAGCCTAGTTAAGTCGGCAAGGTAACAAGTCGACTTTTTGGTGAATGCCCTACTTGTATTGTTGCAAAGTTGCATATTGTATCACATCAATGTTTGGGTTGATCTATAACAAAACACGTAACCCCATATAACTCCAAAAAGATCTGAAACAGTTGCAGGAGTTCTGCTGATGTTGTAATATGTGCTTATCATTTATGAGGGGCGTTCAATAAGTAATGCCCCGACCCACTTCTAGTTCTTTCATCTAAATGAAATTTTGCATCTACAATTACTTATATCTCTATAGATTAAATGGCAAATTGCAGCTCTGAACTGATTGTGGCTTCTCATTTATAGGTGTTTGAACTGAGTCAGGTTTGAAATGGAGCCTGTTGAGGATCGAGCAGTGATTTGGTTTTTTGTATGTGAAAAGGACACACACCACGGGAGACTTTTGATTGAATAAAAGTAATTTACGGTGATGATGCCCAATCATATGGCCTTTAAAAACTTTTTACAAGGCCATATGATGGGGCATGAAACCAAAAGTCTCCTGGGGTGTGTATCCTTTGAAATGCAAAAAACCGGATTATTGCTGGACACTCAACAAGTTCCATTTCAGACTTTACTCAGTTCAAACACCTGCAAATCAGAAACCACAACATGGTGGTTCCAATGCCTTAACCTAGTGGTTAGGGCATTGGAGTAACGCTTCGAATTGGCTTGGAATCTCAGAATTCAGAGGTTCCGAGTTCAGGCCCCACTCCCACAGAATGCTCCTCTGGATACCTGAGCAAAAGACCCTTAAACCCACACTGCTCCCCAGGTGCCACACAATGGCAACCCACTGCTCCCAAAGGAGATGAGTTAAATGCAGACAGTTAATTTCGTTGCTCTGTACTTGTGACAGTGTAATGACAATAAAAAAAGCTAGAAAAACAAAACAAACAATAGGTTCAGAGCTGTAATTTGCCACATAATCTATAGAGATATACATATTTGCACATGCAAAATTTCAGCTAAATTAAACAACCAAAAGTAGGTCAGGGGCATGTACTTATTGATCCCGCATTTGAAATTTCAAAAGTGTCAGTAAATTCATCAATAACAATGACTTTACTGTCTCTTAATGCCTCTATTCCCTCGTTCCTCTCTGTGTTTGATTCTTGCTAAATGCTCGGTGCCTGTGTCTTTTAGCTTCATTGTTTTTATCCATCAATTGCATAAATTGATATGATGAGAAAAAAATGCTCTTAAATTCTCCTTTAAAGTCTCTCTTTTTTTTTAAACATAAATATGACAAAGATAATATTTCTATTTGCAACTTATCATCTATGTGCTCTGCTACCCTCTTTCTTATCCTCCTGTATGTTAATCTTTGTATCTCTCAGTTTATTTCAATGTTGATTTTATCTTTAAAACACTTTCACAGTTAAATAAAAGAAGCATTTTGCCAACCAATGAAGAGCTTTTGACATTTACAACTCATGAACACATTACCTCCTAATTCTGTAAAATTGTCAGGTTCAAGTTCAAGACACTGTAAAAGTAATTTGATTTTTATCGCGTCAAATGTCTCTTTGTACAATGTATTCTTTTTCTTAGCCTTTGAAATAAAGGAAATGTTCAGATATGAGTGGGAAGCAGCTGCTACTCACTCAGTACTGATGGAGGACACAAAGAAAGAAAGATATCCAGAAAGAGGACAGACGAAAGAGTGAAGAGAGATGAAGTGAATAAAGAAACAAAAATAACATTGTTCTGTGGGACTTGATTTTCCTTTTTAACAACACCCTGACCAACCAACAAATATTTGTGAAGAGACAGTCTGAATGACAGTAAACTCATATTATGCTCTGCCTTCCTACATATTGTCAAACTTTCTAACAAAAACCAGCACACTCCACATTATTTGCACATCCCTATTTGTCTCTGTGGACAGAATCTTAACAAAAATGTGCCTGTGTGTTCCTCTGCCTCTAGTCCACAGATGCCTGAGTGATGTGTGTGTGTGTTCAGGTGTGGATCTCTGCAGGTTTTCTCAGTGTGTGTTTGCGTGAGTGCGTGTGTGTGTCCGTGACAGTCTGTCACTGATGTACGTGCCTTCATTCGTTTCAGAGGATTATTCATTTCCTTTTGAAGTGAGGCAGCTCGCCCGGCAAGGAAGGTCTGAAAGGCGGCCGAGAGCAGGCTTTCATACTTTTCCAACAGCAGCTTGTCGTCTGGGGGGTAAATACGTCTGCAGGCCACAGAGACAGGGAGAGAGAGGGGCAAGGAGAGCGAGAAAGGTACAAAAATAAATAAAAAATAGATGGAAAATGGAAGGTAACAAAAAATGGGGTATCATTGAGGCAAGACGATGTGAAATGTGAGAGGGGAAATAAAGTGTGGAGAGGAGGAAGAACAGATGGAGAGAGAGTGGGGTTAAGCAAAAGGAAGCATCAAGGTTAAAGGGCAAGTTATATCATTTGCATAAGTTTAGAAAAGTTAAAGTAAAATTAAAATTAAAAGAATGAACAGAAGTTGGACAATGTTAGGAGATACAGAGGGAATAAGAGTTAAGTTAAATTAAGTAAATGGATAAAATGAGAAAAAGATAATTGGGAGAAACGGATTACAGCATGTCAAGAAAACGCCAAGTGAAAATATGCATTCATGCGTCTGTTCGCACATTTTAAAAACTACCATCAAGACTAAACTAACCATAGTGTTTATCTTGGATCTGAAGAGATTAGAATAATGCAACCTCTGGCTGGTTATCCTCAAAATACATCTCTAAAAACACCCTCATCATCGCATTGGCCATCAAATCCAAACAATGTCAGCTCTCTAAGCAAAATAATCATCATGCAGTTTAAGTGCAAAAGCAGCTGAATGTTCTGGCATGTGAGCGGGACTATTGGGAGCCAATTCCCAGTCTGTTAGAGGGCCCTCCTGATTCAGACATAGCTGTAATGTCTAAAGCAGAACACATTGTTATATAACTATATAAATACTGGTTTCTAAAGATGTGCTTGTGACATGCTCTTATATCTCAGCCTGTGAGTTCAGTGCATTTTAGAGCAATGAAAATACCAAGTAAAGGTTAACTGTTTCACCATTAAAACTTTAACTGCTTCCCATCTGCAACTTATAAATTTATGCACTGTGGCGGTTCTGGGTTCATGATTTCCATATTGTTGAAAAGTCGATACAGTTCTACATAAATGCAGATATAGAGGCTGCAAAATACCTGATCCATGGAGGGAAGTTCACATTCTGGCTTACAGAGAACTTCGACAGACAGCCAGAGCAACAATAGGATCATTTTGGTGAAACCATATTTTAGTCAGGATTCAGAACAAAATTAAATTCTATTTAGAGAAATTCTTAGTCTAATCTGACCACTTTGCTAGTAAAACTGTCAGGGGAAAAGACATTTTATATAGTAGTTATATAAAGCTGGTAGAGACAAATCACATAAGACTTGATTTTAATTACAGGAAAGGTTGCTTCTACCATGAAAGGAGAAAGCTTTATACTTATTTTTATTTGCAGAATATAAAGAAAAACCTGCAACTTCACAGATATGCAGTACTTTGTGTCAGTCTGTTGCACAAAAGATGCATAGCAGTCGGTGGTTGTTATGTGAGCAGGTATGAAAAAGTTCAAGGTATATGAATCCTTCTGTGAGGTACTGCTTTGAGTCATATCACTTTAAAGGAGTATGGACCTGATTTCATCTCTTTTCAAAGACACACTTGATTAAAAAAAAAAACACATTTAAAAAGTTCTCATGGTATAAATATCATCAAAAGAAATAATAAGTGCTAGAGCTTGCCAGTAGTTAAGTGGGCTGATCTTAACCACAGAGATCATGGTCAATTCCTCAGCAGGACAAGTAAAGCCCTCACTTTTTGATATGGATGCTTCAATTGGTTTGATGATTTGATTTTTGTACATGTGATCCAACTTAAGTGAAATGTAGAACTCTAACTACTCATTTAAGATGAAAGAAAAATCTCCCTTTGTTTTTGTTTTTTTACTTGACAGCCCCTTTAAAGCCTCATGGCTTCTGCCGTGTGAAATGATAGCGAATGAGCAACAAGCAGCTGGGTCTCCCTTGGATGTAACACGGGCTGTACCTGAAACAGATTTCATTTAATAGCCAAATGTAAGTGAGTTCATTACCCAAACCCATCTAATGAGGAGCAGTGTGTTAATCAGAGTTCAGCACGGCGCTGGGGCACCATTTGAATGCTAAGAGGTCTTTATTAGGGCTGCTCCAGACAGACCTCAGCCTGCCTGATTGACTGTCTGGCAGCCTGTCGAGGAAAAGGAAGGAGGAAGCAGCACTTCATGCAGGCTTTGAGAAGCATTTTAAGCAAAGAATCAGTCATGAAATGAGTCAAGAATATGCTTTGTCTTTTAGAGAGAGAAAGACACGAAAGAGTGTCTGTTTTTGTTTAGAGAATTAAGAGAAAGACAATAGAGAAATAAAATGATTTGGATGCCAACGTGCTGTATAAAGAAAATTATGTATAAAACGAAGTAAAGAGAGTGAGCAGTTTAAACGGTAGAAATGGTACGTTTTAGCTTGCTAAGTTATGCTTTAGGGTGAAAATTTAAATGCTCTGTGTCTTCCAGAGACCCAGCTGGGGGTATTAAGGAGAAGGGGGAGAAAAGGTTTTTCAGGGAGGGATGAAATGGCTCGCAGCCAGCAATCAAAGTTTAACTGCTAATCTTTGTTTCTAAAATGTGGCAAATGGGTAAAAACTTGCAGAAAAGAAGCCATTTCAGCCTCCTTTCTTTTGCTTTTCCATCTTTAACGTGTTTATTCCTTTTCTCTGCAACATGCAAAAGGACTGCTTTTTTGTTTTATTTTGTCAGCAGCAATATTTATTCAACCAAGAGTTTGACATTTTGCAGATTACCTTGTAAATGTGAAAAACCTGGCACAGAAACAGTGGGTGAAGTTCCTGGAGGGAGAGCCCAATTTTCCCAGCTGTTTGCCTCGTCCTTACCTGTAATTCCCCAGATGTTGATTTTCATATTCTTCCCTGGAAACCTGCTTGCGAACCTGTGCAAGTCGCTCTTTCTAGAAACAAAAGGAAAATATTTCAATTAAACTCACTAAAAGATAAACTAAATGTATTCTTTCAGAATACAAGGCGAAAAAGAAGGAAGTCACTGCCACCGATGAATAATATGTTCTCCCTTTCCATCTCTCATTAGTTTTTTTTTACAGGTCTAATTGAGTGCCTAAGCTTGTCAGATTGATTAAAAGCAAAGATATGGGGATCACTTTGCCACTAGCTCCGATGTATCATTAAATGGTGAGTGATGTAAGCCTTCAGCACACCTGAAACGGAGCTCACACTTCAGCCAAAACAGCACTCAAAAATGAGGTGGTGCCCTTTTTCCAAGAGCGGCTCTGATCCTTTGCTCCTTATTCCCACTGATTACAGCTGTGGCTATCAAAAGGCTAATCAAAGAGGGTGGGAGGCATTAAAGCCTTAGTGGCTGCCACTTTCCCCCATCTAGATGAGAAAAGCTCCTCACATCCTCCATTTAAAGAAAAAATAATTAGATGGTGCATATGCCGCAGAAAACTTACACTTTTGTGACATGTGCTTAGAAATAAGTGAAACTGATTTTCTTCTTACATTTTTGTTCCCATTTGAACCTAACAGTTCGTTTCTTAATCTGCAGCATATCAGCACGCTGTTCATATCTTGCACAATAAATACGTCTTTATTTAACAGTACTACATCCTAAAATACTTCGATGCAATCCAAAAATACCCCAAATTCAATAACTATGAAAGTACAAAGAAAACTAAATGTGCTGTCAGATTTAACTTTCTTATCTTTTAATTTGGTTTTTGCAACAGATGAGATGGAAAAGCAGCATGTTCCACTCAGCATCACTACATGGTTACCTCTAAATAAAATATGATACCTATAAACACGGGAGAGCTGAGCCTACCACTGTGTCTCATGGTCAGGTAAAAATTATGAGAGTAAAGTCTTCTCTTCCTCTTCTTAACAATTTGAGGCATCCATGCTGAGTGAACTGTCCTCTAAAATGAAACCCAGCCCAGATTGTCCATCTCCACTTCAGCCAAAATTTAGGCAATATATGAACTTTTTGAACAGAGTTTGAAATAGTAACAAATTGTTTTTCACTCTCAGAATATCGCACATAAGTAAGGACACCAAAGGCACAGTGGAGGTCAGCAGGAAGGAGCTAGGACCAGCAAGCAGTTTCCTATTAAAAATGCAGTTAGCATAGGGACCTCCTGGCATCCCTACCCACTGCTAGCAGGTCGCCGACAATCCTTTGCATGACAGACCGTATAGGCATAGCTATCTTCATGGAGATAACCATGAATGCATTATTTCATGTCATGTACTCTCTCTCACACATGCTAGACTTAGACAACTTTTATTTTAATTTTTGTATACACAGGGTGTATATAAAAAGAAATTTCGCTTAGTACAGCTTTTCAGACAGTAAATGAACATTTCCATTCCATAAAGTGCAGCAGTGATCAAATGTGAACAGTGCGGTAGGAAAAAAATAATGGTGCAAAAAAGGCAATGATATGGAAGTTCAGAGCATTAATATATATATGGTGCAAATATGCAGTATTTTTGGTTTGGTGTTATCAGTTTGATGCAGAGTCTGTGACATGATTTTGAGTTTTTTTTTTTTCTCAACAGTTCAGCTGTCTGATGGCAGTGAGGAAGAAGCTGTTGCAGAATCTGTTTGACCTGCATTGAATTCTGTGAAGCCTCTTCCCAGAGGGCAGCCGGGAAGACCATGGTGGGGGTGTGAGGGGTCATTTATGATGTTACAGGCTCCCGACACACAGCGGTGGTATAAAATGTCTTTTATTAAGGGAAGAGGAGCTCAGATGATCCTCTCTGCCAGGCATCCCCAAAGTCGGTCCTCGAGGGCCACTGTCCTGCAGGTTTTAGAGGTTTAATTGCTCCAGGACAGCTGGTTTTAAATGAGAGCTGATTAACAGGCTTTTGTGCAACTGCAGTCATCATATTTAGCTATGCTAAAGCAAGGAAATATCTAAAACCTGCTGGACAGCGGCCCTTGAGGACCGACTTTGGGGAAGCATGCTCTCTGCTGTTCTAACCACTCTTCTCAAGTTCTTCCAGTCTGAGGCACTGAAGCCTCCACACCAGACAGTGAGGCAGCTGCTTAGAACGCTCTTTAAGGTGCTTCTGTGGAAGGTTGTGAGGATGGGTCGGGGTGGGTCCCCCATCATCCTCTGCAGGAAGTGCAAGTGCTTTTGTGCCCTTTTTACCAGTGAGGTGGTGTTTACAATCCAGGTGAGGTTGTCTATGATGTGCACCCCCAGAAATTTAGTAATGCCGACAACCTCTACATCTGAGCTGTGGATGAGCAGTGGAGCGTGGTTAGGCCGATTCCTTCTGAAGTCGACAATGATCTCCTTTGTCTTCTCCACATTCAGGATCAGGGTGTTATCTTTGCACCAGCCCACCAGCTGCTTCACCTTCATGCTAATGTACACATCTTCATACATTTTAGGTTTTATAATGAAGAGCTTAATCAGTTTGCTTTGTTTCTGTGAATATTGTTCTCTGTAGTTCTTTTCCAATAGGCTGTGGTCCCAATTTGATCACGGTGGTTCATGTTTGTGTGTCCGTGTCCGCCACATAAGGTAGTCTGTTAGCATTAAGGCTATCCAGATACAGCACAGCTGTCCGGAGTTCCTTTCCTACTTTGGATAGTGTTCTAACTGTTGACCCAGTAAATGGCTATGGGATAGGAGTGAGGAATAGGAGGAAGGAGCTACAATGAGAGGAATGATCATCACTGAGTTATAAAATCTGCTTTAACAAATCCAAGAACACAGAGGCTAATATGGGTCTTGTCTAATGTAATGTGACTGATGAAATTACTATGAAACCATTGGTTTCTAACATTATTAGACATGAAGCTAACAGCTCAAGCTAGTTTTGACATCAGATTGTATGGCATATATTTTATTAAAACTGTGCTACCAATCTAAGTATTCCAACACCTAACATAACGGATCTTTGCAGCCATTTAAAAGGAATTTATCCCATACTAATGTATGTTTGCAAAATTAGGACCAAAGGAAAAAGGGGGATTCTCAAAGAACAGTGCTGATGACACTGCACAGAATGCATGAAATATTTAATGCCATTTGACAGTAATGAGTAATTTATATGAAGTGAAAGAAACAGGAAAATATAGCTCATATGTCAGAATGGATGTACAAAGTATAATCAATTTTGATACAGTGGGTGAACTATGTTTTCATTTATCCAATATGTTCTAAAAATGAAAGCAGAGTAATTCTCTCCTTTGACCACAGTTAGAAATCATTACCTTATGCAGGATATGACCTCAACAGAGGCTATGTTTCCACTGGTCTAGGGTCAGCAACTAATAGAGCTATCATTTACCAAAGAAATTGCATTAGGGATGGCGCAAGACTGAAAAAAAAGAAAGAAAAAAAGAACATGCAAATATAAATTAACTGAACGTGTGATATCCAATTTGTGCCATACCAGCTCCTCTTTTCTTCTTTCCAGAGTGTGACGTTGTTTCTCCCAGTCCGAGGAAGTTGCTGCAAGTTTTTTCATGGAGCCATGTCCATAAAGCCGTCTCTGAGCCTCCGCCTTCTCCTGAGCCAGGTTTCGTTTCTTATCACTTGCCCTGTACCACAATTAAACAAGTAATAAAAAGCCCATTAAATGCTTAGATTTGAGGAAGTCTCTGAGGAAAAGCTACTGATATTTTTCTTTTTTGCAATGCTGTATGGTTGTTTACTCTTCTAATGTTTGCCACATATGAAGCTGTTTGATAGTTATTTTATAAACATTAAAAAACAACTTTGTAGGATAGATGTATTGAGGATGTTTGACAGCTTGTTTCCACGTAAGAATTTACTAATTAATAAGATGAAAATGGCTCTTTTCAAAAGACTCAGACAATATATTGAGAAAAACAGAATCTAGAGTCCAGATATCAGTTAGATTGGCAAGATCAGTCAGATTTTCCTAAACCAGTTGGTTGCTAAATGTTAGGGAGAGGAACATTTTGTTTAATTTAGTTGGTGGCACTTTTAACTGAATACTAAGTGCTGTCGGTGCTTTTAAACTGATGCCAGTTTAATGCCGTTTGTATTATGAGCAGACCTATAAAGCAATCAAAGACCTTAAACACAAATGACGACTTCATCTGGGTAGGGAGAGTTAATAATATTAAGGAGTTCAACAGGGCTGCCTTAGATTCTATAAACTTAAGCTTTTTATTCTGAATATTTCTATTGCCTTCAAAACATGTTTTTACCGCTAAAATAAAACCTAATTTTGTCGTGGTCGTGAGAGGCTGATTGCCCCTCTGTATACTAAATGAGCAGGACGCACAATGAAGCTGAAACCTGGCCCGATGGAAAAAATTCTCGCATGACTGGAAGATCAGCCTGAAAAGGGCAACAGAATTGTACAGTGTGTGTTCGGCTTTAATAACAATATTGCTCTTTTTTGGGAGGTTTATGTTTATTTAGCAGCTGTAGAGCAAGGCTGTGGTAATGTTATTTTTTGAAATCTTTGGGTTCAGCCCTCTGCCAACAGGAAGGTTCTTTATCAAAAATGTTAATGACTTCAGCTTGGTTTATTCTTGACCCGTACATGTTCCTCGGGAAAATGATACGCACTGAATCAGGCTGATACAACCTTTGGGTACATTTTGACACCATGTGGCTTTTCTGCCCTCTACCCGATATGGTAGATTCAAATGGGCAGAGTAGGAACAGACTGCAGACTACAGCACCACACTACAGGTAGGGATGTCATGATCCAATATTAAAATCAGATAACTGTCCGACATACGCCAAAAAATTGTTATCGAATTTTATTAGCCAGCGTCTATAATCTCGGATATTTTCATGGTGATAGAGACACTCTGCTTCTGTTAAACGTTTTTGTAACTCATTGGTTAGTTTTACATTGGTCAGTTCTTTATCCTTTAGGAATATAACCTGATCAAGGATTTTCATTCTACAGTCCAAAATATGTAATAAAAGCTGGTATGATTCGTGCCAATATCCTGTCTGGTTAATATTTGTATCAGCTAACTCTCAAAGCTGCAATATCAGCATCGAATCAGAAATGAACATTCCCTAACTACAAGTCAACACTAGAAAACATGGTGCTTTCAACATTTCTAATTATTCCTTATCTAGCCAAACAACCACGATAAATGATTTTTAACAGCTGTCTACAATCAGTTTATCGTCTTGGTATAGATTTTTATATTTGCAAATACCCGCCAGGAGTAGCTTTCACTTCTCTGCAATGGGACTGCCCATGAAGTTAATATAATTAGGTGTGCCTAGTAGAAAATTTGGGCTGCTTGAGAGTTTTAAATTGATCACCTGGTATTGTGTAGAATGCAAGGATGCTTCAAGCATGAACCAATTTTAATGGCCATGTTGAGAATATCTTTAACGGTCTGCTAGACAACTGTAAAGTCAAAATCATTCTCAATGACTCTATGAGCTGTAAAATTTCCTGAGAAACAGATTATAGGGTATTCATCAGCTTAAAGTGGTAATCTAAAATTAAAATACTAGAAATGTATCACTTTGTTTGTGATAACTCATTCTTAAACTCTTAATTCAATTACTGAAATGGATGATTTTGTTATTTACTTAGGTGCTCCTAACATATATGTTTTCTTTGTCTGTGTTGCATTATGTTTCTGTATTTTCATGACTACTGAGAGGAGACTAAATTTAGAGTAGCTAGAAGAGGACATACGAATGAAAACCACAAAGGGAGCAGAGATCCAGAGGTCTTGTGTATAGTGATCAATCAGAGGACCAAGTCACTGTAGCCAGGGGACAGAAAAGCTTGCCCACGATTACACACACACAGCAGTGCACAACAAAAAATAGTACGTTTACAAAAATATACCAAGAAAAAAGAGTCTATGTAAGCAGAACGGAGAAACAAAGCAAGCAAAAAGTACTACACAGGAAGCTAAATGTATGATCAAAGAACAGTAAAATGTGGATTTAAAATCACAGACAGCGTAAAAGTAATGCTAACGCTGACCTAACTCACATCGGCAACATGTGTAACACATAACAGAAGCCTTTTTCTCCAGCTCTATGTCTTACGTTCAGGCGTTAAGAAAATAAGGAAACCTTCCAACAGCTTGTGTGATTATCTAAGACATTTGGACAAACAGTAATGGCAATTTTAACATTGTACAGTCTTCCTTTCACATTGTTGTGAGAGTTTACCAGAAGATAATGAATATATTATATAACAAGAACTGGAAGTGATAGTTAATTAATAGGTCATTCAAATCAAGGGTAAAACATATTAATTATCATCAGTTGAATGATTATAACTGTAATTTGCTTTTAGCCTCTTCCCTAAAAGGTTGGACTCCTGAATCTGGCTGTTAAAAATTCAGTTGTCCTTCGCCAATTTAGTAATTTAGGCTATGGCTCTTAGCAATGTTAATCATCACCAACCAACTAAATGTGTCTCTGTTCAGTCGGATACTACTGAAAAATGAGTGAATCCAGCCTGAGTGATAAATCATTCACTGTGTAAAATAAACACAAAAGAGTGCAAGTTGAAATACAATGGTACCTTTATCAGCTACAGTCACACAGTATTTTATCTAATAACTAAGCAGACACTAAACACGACTGAAAATAAGCAAAAATAAAGAAATTAAAGAGGAACAGGCGTTTAAAAGTCGATTCACAGTCTGAGGAATGTTCAAAGTTTTATGGGCTGGTTATACTCACGCAGCAGTGTGTCACAGTGAGCTTGTCCAAGATATTTTTGATTGCCCAATTTTGAAGAGTGGTCTGCACTATGCTATTCCATGCCACAACACAAGACGGACAATCACGAACTAGCTGTGGTCTAGATACGGCCGAGGCGGCGAGGAAGTGGAAAAAATGCAAGGGGCAAGTTTGTGCAACAACAGAGGGACATTAGGGGGGAAAAAGAGCGGGAGCCAGGTGGAAAAGGGGTCCCAGCACATCTCAGGCTCATTTAATTGGTCAAATGCCAAAAGAAGACGTACAGCCATGTAACAGTATCTATTCTGAATGCCTGGATATAGATCTATAGATGAATAAAACCCTGACACAGATATGTTAACCACAGTCAAAACAGTGACGTTTCATTCAGTTTTATGGTGAAGAATGAATAATGACTCATGAATGCACTAAACAGCAATGAGGCTGAAAGACCCGTTAGCTTAGCTGGCCCAAGGGGATCGGGTTCTGGTCTGGTCGGGTGCAACTGAAACAAAGAGAGGGTTAGCTCATGATGTAGCCTCTATAACTTGTTCAGCACGAGGTAGGGGGGGGGGGGGGGGTGATGGTGTTACTGTTTTGGTTCGGTGTAGTGAAGGCCTTCGGCTCAGTCCAGTTTTCTGCAGAACCAGTTTTCTGCAGAACCAGTTTTCTGCCCAGCCCATTCGTCCAACAGCAGCTCAAAAACATTTGGACCAATTTAATGCAATATTAAGAGGCAATTTTGCAAGGGGGTTAATTTTATAACTCACGGTAGCATGAGACGTCACCCTTTTACTACCGTGGTTAGCTTGTAGCCGCAGCCTCCAGCAGCACCTCCTCGATGCTGCTCCGTCTCAGGCTGTCATGGGTCTGGTGGCTTCTAACGGCTCCTTCAGCAAACAGAGATTGGGGGCCCCATTCAAGCTAGCAGAGCTGGATTAGCTCTTCTCTGTTTCTGCTTCAGCAGGCTTCAGGTAACACTGCGTCCAACTCCTTCTGAATCGCAGGAAAAGGGCAGTCTGACTCAGTCCAGCGAGTGCAAACTTCTCCGGAGGGATTTGGTTGCTACATAGCATAGCTTTCAGCTGGGAAGCGCTCAGACTAGCCTTTAGCGGCACAGAGCCCCCCGGCAAAATAGAAAGTAACAGGAAGTTACTTCTTTTAAAACCTCTGCCAGAGGGGTGTGTCTTCAGGGGGGAGTAGTTCCGGTTACATCAGGGGCATTTGATCCCAACGACACCTTCTTCTTCTTTTTGACTATTTGAGCCGAAAACAGTAAATTTCTCCACTGTGAGATCAATAAAGTCAATCAAACATCCATCAATCAATCAATCAATCAATCAGGAAAAAAAGCAATAAAATTAAGCATAAAAGCAAAAGACAACACATTTTAAGATTTTCCACAAAATGTGATGTGTCATTAGTAATTTAGGAACAAGTGGGCAGAATGAAAAGGTAGGCATGAGACAAAGTGTAAGTCTTGTAAAATATCTTACATAGAAAATAGTGCTGTTGGCTAATGAGATTGCTGTCAGTTGCTTTTGTAGCCTCTGTTGAAAAATATTGTTGGGGGTAGTTGTTGAAGCAAGCTGCACAATATACAAAGTTGTTCAGATGGAAAGCTTTGGTCACTGCCCTGGCAAAATCTAAGGCCCTGTCCAGATTAAGCTGATTGTGAGTGTATAGAACAAGCCCCTTTGTTGGTTAGGGCTCCCATTACGACAGCGCTGCCACAAAACTGATTGCATTTAAAACCAGTTCCAAGCGTGTTTGAAGGCGCCCCCAATGCATCTCTGTCATTATATCCCTACACACATAACTGGCAACACAGCAGAGTGATTATACATGTGAGCCAACACAGCCTCCGTCATCCTTTATGCTAATGCGCTGACACCAACCAACAACATCAGCAGAATTTTGTGTTTCGGTTCTCTTCTATAATCTATGTTTTAGAAGTTGATGATTTTGTGTCTTCATCCGACACAAATGCATTTTTTCTCTTTTCTAAGTTCTTTTTTTACATTCTACCCCTTTCTTCTTCTACCATTTTATCTTTATCACTAGCACCCCAACCACTGGCATAATATTAGCATTACAATGCTCATTACAGGTTGGTCAGCTTTGAGCTGTTTACAGTTAAGTTCTTTCTGAGCAGATGCCTAATTTGACTTCATGTGGATGTAGCCTATACAAGTTTAAAGAGAGAATTCTGAAAGTACTGAGGTGATTGTTTAAAATTAAAATTTCTAAATCTTCTCCAATTATTTTTAGATATCCAAGGGTTTGACATCATTGGAAATTTAGGCCTCCACTCTTTTTGTTCCTGCTTTATTAGTTTGTTGAGTATTTTAAGTCATTTTCGCCGACAAGGATATTAGACTCTCTACTAAAGACTCATAGAAGATATGCAGCAACACTCTGCAAGCACTGAAGGACCTTAGCTTTCTGAAGAAGTACAATCTGCTCTTTCCCTTCTTGTAGAGGTTACATCTCCAGTCAAGTATGTTGTCCAGGTGAACACCAATCTATGTATACTTCTCGACCACCTCCCCTTCATCTACCATGATGGTAATAGAATTCAGCTTGTTCCTGTTGCTTCTACATTGTTCTGTTCAAATTCAGGATCAAATGGTTGTTTCCAAACCATTTCACAAAGTGGTTAATAAGTTCCCTGCACTAAGCTTTTTTTCCATCTTTGATGTATGCAATAATACAGAGTCATCAGAGTGTTTCTGCACATGACAATACTGTCTTGTACTAGAAGTCAGAGGTGTACAGAGTAAAAATGATTGGTAAGAGTACCCTGTGGTGCTCCTGTGCTGCTAACTACTTGATTAGACAGTTGACACAAACTTTGGGCTGTTTTTCAGGTAGCATTTGATCCAGGCCATCATTGATGCTTCCACCTTAATCTTTTGGGGTTTCTAATAAAGTAAGTAAGGCCGAAGTTTGTTAAATGCACAGGAGAAATCAAAGAACATGATCTCGACTCTGAAACACTCTGAATTGACAGTGGGTTTGTTGAAGCAGGTGTATTATGGTATGTTCAACTCCCAGTCTATGGTGATAAGCAAATTGCTTGTTTGCTTGCTCAGGTGAAACAAAAAGGACTATCTCCAAGACCTTCATGATTTGGTATGTCAAGGAGAACAGGTCTATAATCTTTGGAGTCTGTTGGCTGATTTTTCTTTGGTTCTGGAACAAGTCCGGAGGTTTTTCCACATCACTAGACAGTCTCTTGGGTCAGGCCAAGATTGAAGAGTTGCTGTAGAATCCCACAGAGCTGCTCTGCACAAGCCATGGGGACTCTGGGGCTGACACAGAACCTAGTGAATTATTATGATTCAGTCTCTTTAGTTAGCTCTTAACTTGACTCCTTGAGACAGACAGGTGAAAGGCAGAGGGAGTAGCACCATCTTCAGACGGAATGGAAGATATCCATTTGACTGTAGACAGGAGAGAAGAGTGCCAAGTTTGTTCCTGAACTGAACCTATTGGAGAAAGTATTCAGTCCATTGGCCCTGCCCAGACTTCCAACTTTCTGATTATCCTTCTGCTTGAAGCACATGATCTTCATCCGTCCTGCTGGGGCTTGTTTTCCAGCTTTTTCCTGTATTCCTCATTGCTTTCTTTTTCCTCCTTTCTTTCTATCTTGTCCTAAAGTTGCTTCTGTATATTCCTCAATAATTTCCTGTCTCTGTTCCTCAAGGCTCTTTTTTTCTTGTTAAGCTGTTCCTCCAGATACCTTGTGATCCATGTCCATTATTTGGCAAGTATCTCACTTTTCTGGTGGGGATGGTGTTTAAAAAGAAGTTTCTGTAGTTAGTCACACACTCAGTCTTTGCATTGATGTCCTCTTGATGTGGCTCACACAGTGCATCCCAGGCTGTAGCCTCAACAGATATCGGCTTAAAAACCCCAATGTCGGTATTGGCCCTTAAAATCCCATATCAGCTCTAGGACATCTGAGATACTTCTCAGCCATACCACAGCTGAATATGAGGTGTGGGCAAACTTTCAGTTCAATATCAGAGATTGTTATATGACAACAAGAAGGGTCTCATTGACCTTATTTTATCCAAGTCAGTTAGACTAGTTATATGTGGAATGGATGTCCTAACTTTTGTCCCAGCAATAAAATGCTAACTTATTATCTTTTGTTTACTGAGAAGGAGAATGTTAGTTTTATTGTTTATCTGAATATAAACCATTTTCTTATTCAGAGAGAAAATAGGTTAGACCTTTGAGTACTTCTTGATAAGAAATCAAATATTGAATTGGGGTCCAAATGTTTACATCTCATTGTATGTATCACCAAGACAATGCACACACTTATTCACAACTATAGTTTATGTGTTCAAAAGCTATCCTATCAAAACTAACCTCCTGTTACTCTTCACATTCTTACAGTGTGACATAGTGACATCTAAAGAGAAGACAAAGGCACTAAATCTGAGGGGGAGACGACTCAAACTGTTGGGATCCTCAGGCTTGCCCACCAGAGGGCGCCGAGGATCCTCTTCTGCCTTTTGTTGTTTTCTCTTAGGGCTGGAGTTACTGTTGGGATCTGGAGATTACCCTCTGCCTCCAGCAGAGTGCGCCGTGGGTCTCCTAGGGCTGGAGTCTTCCAGCACACCTGTTATGCATCTACTCATCAGGAGACCTCCCCTTTATAAGCTCCTGCCAGACCTTGCTTCCATGCCGCAGTGTTGATCTTAGTTTGGTTAGCAACCTGAGCCTCTGTTACTGAAAGAATCTTAGCTTGTCTCTAGTGAGAGATCTGATTCTATCTCTCCTTTGTTTGTGCCTCACAGGAAACCTGTCGCTAGTCTGGAGCTCTGGGTGAGCTGCCTCACTGGAAACCTGTCTCTGGCCTGAAGCTCTGGGAGAGCTGCCTCACAGGAAACCAGTCTCTAGCCTGAAGCTCTGGGTGAGCTTAACCTGCTAATCAGCCCTGGTGAGCCAACCTGAAGATTCCTATGTGGAATTAGCCTGAAGATTCCTATGTGGAGTTTACCTGAAGATGCCTAAGTGGAGTCAACCTGAAGATTTCCTATGTGGATATCCCCTGCTCTTCTCTGTGAAGAGCTGGAAGCTCAGATCAAGGTCAGCCATGCTAAGTTAAAGCTAGACGCTTTAGCTCCTTCTGAACTCTGCTAATCAACAGTCTCTGGCCCCAGTCAAGACTTCAGTGATCCAGCCCAAACCAGTTTCAGAACCTGTTCATATTTTGTGTTTCAGAACTTTGAATAAACCTTTGAACTTTTTCCCTGCCTCCTCCGTGAGTGTTCTGCATATGGGCTTGCCTCTTTGACCCATCATGACACAAACAAGTTGAGTTATCTATTATGTAAGATCATTTCTTAAGATTTTTTTTAAGATTATGAGGTAAAAAAGGCTAAAAAACAAGATAAATTATCTAAAAAGTGTATAGTTTTTTTATCTTGATGAAAAAAAGAACAAAACATTTGCTAATATCACAATAGTCTTAAAATCAGATGTCTGATACAGTCTGAACTCCAACATATGTCAAAGAAAGGATTGATTGAGCTCTTTAAACATTTAAGACCCCTATAAAACAGCCTTTACCCAAGCTTTAAAGGTCCCTTGATACAATGTTTTGCATATCTGCATGCATATCAATATACTGCACCAGAAAGCAATACCTGATGTTCAGTAGTTTGAGAGCATTGAGCAACACCCCTTTCTTCACATCGTAATCGATCTTCTGATCAGTCCCAAAGCTTGGAGCTCGATTGATCTATCAAACAAAGCAGAAAACAGACATTTAAAAATTTCATTCTGTCATGTTCTGCAGAATGAGATTGCATGCAATTATAGGAGCAGATTGTGGGCTTGTTTGGAGAGAAAAAAAAAACAAGCAAAGGAAAGAGGAATGAAGCAAGCATGCAGACAGAGATCGAGGATTTTTTCTTTTTTTTTCTCTTTCCTTTTGAGAGACACTTTAAAGCTGGTTTGGCCTTTTCCTGCATAAATCTTGTCTGGGAATGAAGTGTGTAAACATGTGCCTGAAGTAGAATCTGCTTGTGTGTTAGCACACAACAGTTTGTATACGTGACCCGGAACTTTAAAGCCTAAATATGTTTAAGGCAGACTCTATAACACAGCCACCACTAACATTTATGTCAGCAACAAAGAATTACTCAGCTTGGCTCTATTATTTACACTCAAAAGCAATCAGCGAGATTCATCCGATCAAGGAAGGAGTAAGCCACATGGGATTGTAGGTACAAAAGCTGGCATCATCCACAAAATAATTCCAAGAACAGCTTACCTTTCTCAACAGAACAATTCCAAGCATCAGCATGAAGTATTCAAATATCAGTTATTATACTTGACACAACAAATCAATTCTTTTTCTCTTTGTAATTTTCCTTTATGTCTTCCTCCCATGGTGAGAAATCGCTTATGTGAGACAACAAAAGGAGCAACAAAGAAAGAACTGGCAACTGCAATTGGAACAGTGTCTTCCTATGAGGTGACTTCAAATGACAATGCAACAGATGCCCATCGAAAGGCTGGCGAACGTTGATAAACCATGATTGTTCTGATAAGTCAGGTCTCTGTCTGGCTTCATCTGTAAACGCAAGAACCCCCCTTTTGTGTTTTGCTTTGCCTCAAAACAATAATTTGGGTTGGTAGGCAGTTATTATTATGATTTTAATGGCCCTAACAGATGATTTGCTTTGGGGAGGGGGGTTGTAAGCATGTGTCAGAATTGTTAATGGATATCTTTATGCCAAAAAAGACCCATAAAGGTGTATGCAGGAGCTTTTACCCACTGGGACTTAGATACCCGTATAGAACAGATGGTATATCTAGATGGCATATCATCCAGCTGCTGTAACCCAAACCAATAAAACATAGAGTTGGTCTGGTTTTAACCGTTTTCTGTCTGCCTCTTTATTATGTCACCAACCTTAATAAAGGTATAACAATTTATTATCTCCTTATCATTAGTATTGGTTTTAATTTATACAGACAAATGTTTAATTTACCTCTAACTCATAGATCTGTAAGTCCATCATAAGTGTTACCATTCCGGTATTTCTAGCAAATAAATATTTTTGTTAAAAGCAAGTTTTTATCAACTCTACTTAATCTTATGAAAAGCATTTTGCATAAGACAGAAATCACGACAAACAAAGAATAATCATCTCTTATTACCACAACAATAAGGCTTATATTGTTCATCAAGATTCATTCATTGTATATAATTACATTAGGTATGGTGAATAAAAAACAGATTTGTGGGAGACATTATATCACTCCTTTCTAGATGTTTTCACTTAAATCGTTTGAATTATTTTTTAATTTCTTCTAACTAACAGGCTGCATTATGATACTATGAAAAATGATTTGCCCCCTTTAAGGTTTGAGCTTTTGTCTTTTTTGTCGTTCTTACTTGTTTCATTGTCGAACAAATGTTATTGTTAGACAAACATAGCCTGAAAAGAAGGAAAAATACATTTAAAAAGAATAAGAGGCAAATTGCACGGGTATTTAAAACCCAGAACTGCAATCAATAACCTTCATGTCTTTTTAATTTCTTAATACGCTAATGTGCTTGTTTGTTTTTGATCATTGCCTGGTGCCTAACTTTAATAGCCTCAGGTCATTATCTGATGACCAGTCATTCTCCTTCAGTATTTCCGGCTAGACAGCACTATTCAAAGTTTCATCAATATGGCAAGACATCAAAGACCTGAGGAAGCAAAGTATTCTTAGACAAAATAGACCAACATCACCATGCTTGATTGTCTGTAGGATATTTTTTCTCATGAAATGTTGTGCTGCCTTAGGCTGGTTAATGAGAGACACAAGACTCAAAAAGGTGTCCATTGAATATTTGTTCAAAAGTGTTGGTGATCATCCAAAAAGTTTTAATTGCCGATGTAACTCCTTTGCAGTTATGTTTCCTCCCTCTAGCGTTGCCATAAAACATATTTGGTTTCTCCTCACAGCAGGGCTGGGAACAAAGTTTAAGGATAATATTTAGATCACAACCAGACTCTCAGGAACCGAGGGAGCAGGGGTGTTTAGTTTACTGCCAACTGTAGGCCAAAATAAAGAGGTAAAGATTAAAAGACTGTACATTAGGTTTACAAGAAAACTGTAAAATAAGGAGACATTACTAAGGGACCTGTTCACTTCCTGTTTGGATTAACTGAGTGTGCAACTGAGTGCGCAGCTGTTCAGAGGATCTCCATCTGAAGGTAAGTTATTTTCTCTGTGATATCTCTGTATCTAAGTAACTCTAACTGACTACTTTAAAACATAGCACCTTCTGCTGCACTTTTCTACTGAGCACTTGTCAGTTTCACACGGTTTTATTTCTGATAGCAAGAAGTAGCTAGCCTAGGCTAGCGCTAGCTTAGCATTGCTATGGCTTCTCTCTCTCCCTCCCTTGACTCTTTTCCAACTCTTCCTTCTTCCTCTCCTCTCTCCTGCTCTCTGTGTCAGATGTTCAGTTATTCCTCTGCCTCCTTTAGTGATAATGGGATGTGTAATAAGTGTAGTATTTTTGTAGCTTTGGAGGCGAGGGTGTCAGAGTTAGAATCCAGGCTTCAGGCTGTTGAAGTAGGCCCCCCACGTAGCTGTCCTCCAAAAGTGCCTGAGCAGCCAGGCGATTGGGTAACTGTACGCAGAAAGCGTAGTCGTGGATCTCTGCCCACTGGTCACCACCAACCCGTTCACGTTTCTAACCGGTTTTCCCCACTCAGTGACACACCCACTGAGAAGCCCACTCTGGTGATTGGCAGCTCCATAGTCAGAAACGTGGCATTAGAGACACCAGGGACCATAGTCAAATGTTTGCCGGGGGCCAGAACGGGCGACATCAAATCCTACCTGAAACTACTGGCTAAGGATAAGGTTAAATACAGTAAGATTGTTATTCACGCTGGTGGTAATGACACCCGGTTACGCCGATCGGAGGTCACTAAAATTAGTGTTGCTTCGGTGTGTAAGTTTGCCAAAAAAATGTCGGACTCCGTAATTTTCTCTGGTCCCCTCCCTGATCTGACCAGTGATGACATGTTTAGCCGCATGTCGTCATTCAATCGCTGGTTGTCTAGGTGGTGCCCTGAAAACAACGTGGGCTACATTAATAATTGGCAATCCTTTTGGGGAAAGCCTGGTCTGATTCGGAGAGACGGCATCCATCCCACTTTGGATGGTGCAGCTCTTCTTTCTAGGAATCTGGCCACATTTATTAGTCCTCCAAAACCCTGACCACCCAGGGTGCAGACCAGGAAGCAGAGTTGTAGTTTAACACACATCTCTGCAGCTTCTCTACTGTTACCCACTCTTTACTCCATCCAGACAGTGTCTTGCCCACGACCAAAATCTAATAAATTAGCAAAGATTCCCAAAGGAGTAAATCATGATAATCTAATTAAAATCAAAATAACTCCAATTGGGGAAAAAGTTAAAACAATTAAATGCGGTCTGTTTAACATAAGATCGCTTTCCTCTAAAAGTCTACTAGTTAATGACTTGATTTGTGATAATCACATTGACTTGTTTTGCCTTACAGAAACCTGGCTGCAGCAAGAGGATTATGTGAGCATAAATGAGGCAACTCCTTCAAGCTATTTAAATTTTCACATCCCCAGAAGTTCTGGGCGAGGAGGAGGAGTAGCAACAATCTTCGAGTCTGACTTACTGATTACTCCCAAAACAATTAATTCCTACAACTCTTTTGAACATTTAACCCTTAATTTCCCTGATCCAAATTTCAAGGCAAGAAAACCTCTTCTTTTTGTAACTTTGTATCGTCCACCAGGTCCTTACTCTGAATTTTTAGATGAGTTTTCAGAGTTCCTTTCTGATTTGGTATTAAATACTGACAGGGTCATCATAGTGGGAGATTTTAACATCCATGCTGACATTGAAGGCGATAGCTTAAGAGCAGCCTTTAATGCTATCTTAGACACTATTGGCTTTGTTCAAAATGTGAATAGTCCCACGCATTCTCATCTTCATACTTTGGATCTTGTGCTGACATACGGCATAGAATGTGAAGAAATAACAGTATTTCCTCACAACCCTGTCCTCTCTGACCACTTTCTAATAACCTTCAGGATTACTTTAACAGAGTTCTCCTCCCCCAAAAGAAGGTTCAATTTTAGTAGATCTTTATCAGATAGTGCAGTTATAAATTTTAAAGAATCTGCTTCACTTTCTCTCTGCTCTGTGTCACTGAGCAGTGCTGCAGAGTGCAAAAGCTTAGCTTATTCCCCTTCACAGGTTGATGATTTTGTTGAGGGGGTTGCTAGTTCTCTGCGTATTGCCTTAGACAACGCAGCTCCTTTGAAAATGAAAACCGTTAAAAATAGAAAGCTTGCTCCTTGGTTTAATGCAGAGCTGCGTACTTTGAAGCAAAATGCTAGGAAACTGGAGAGAAAATATCGCTCCACAGGCCTGCGAGAGTCCTTCCTAGTCTGGAAAAATGGTTTACTGCTGTATAAGAGGACCCTTTGTAAAGCAAGAGCAGCATACTTCTCCTCATTAATAGAGGAGAATAAGAATAATCCTAGATTTCTTTTTAATACAGTTGCCAAACTCACCCAGAGCCATAGCTCTGTTGAACCGTCCATTCCACCTGCTCTTAGCAGCAATGATTTTATGGGATTCTTTATAAATAAGATTGATCTTATTAAAAATAAGATCATAAGCACTCCTCTATCCGCGATTATACCTGAGGTAGTCATGGAATCTGAACCGGGTTTAGACTGC